GTATAGTTAATATAAATTAAATACTCGTTGTCTTAAAAAAGTGATAAGCCATAAAAATTACTATAAAAAAAAAAAAATAATAATCATATCGTAATCGTAAGTATTGTTTGTGTCTAACTTATAAATTATTACACCTTTTTATAAGCTATCAAAAAGAAAATAAAGTATCTTTGAAATAGAAATGTGTTCTTCCCCTCGTATCAGCCCCTACATGCATAAACAACATTATATCCGACGATCTGAGCCGGCCATCAGATCTTCATAATATTTTACAAAATATAGTGTGCACTATATAATATGTTATTAATTATTATATTTTAAATTGTTATTATGACTTATAACGACACAAAGCGCTCTTTCGACAGTTAACAAGTGTGGATTTATATATTCAATAATAATAACATATAATTACGATCAATGTTTTGGTCGTAAAAAGCACAACGTTATTTGTAGGCAATATTAATTATACTTGGATTTTTATTTTTTTAGTTTAGTGAAGGCTACATCACAATATATAAATTAAGAATTTACATGGGAATTTTAAATAGAAAAATTGTACATAATTATACACCATAATAATATTATGTTAGTTGTAATTTTCCTGTCGTGTTCCGGCGTTTGTAAACAGACATTAAAGCATTATGAATTTTTATTTTTTAGCTAACTTATAAGTTAAAATGCATGTAAATGACAAATCGATTTAGATAATTGACAAATATCCACCAATTTGTAGTAATAATTGTGTTTTCGAAAAACCGTACTAAAAAACAAAAAAAAATCTATAAAAACAGAAGGTAGGTGACCAACCTAACTTATACGGACATAATATAATTAGTACCTAACTTATACCGTCCATTATAAAAGCAATGTATGTTTAGGAATTAGGAGCGATCGATCGATGACAATTATATTTACCTACCAATAACTGGGCTGTGCAGTAAATGATTACTATAATATCTTCAAATCATATTTTATTGGAATGTAACTATTGAGGTATAATATCGATAGAATTACAAAATATATTATTATTAATAGTTACCAAACGATACCGCATAGTTGAATATATACAACTCTTGACCGTGTGGTTACATTTATGTGAGGAAAAGTAATAACTTATAACTTGATAACTTTTCCGCACATAAAGTTAAATATATTCAACTACCTATGAGGTATCGTTTGGTAACTATGGTATCTGTGATTATTTTACACGTCACCGTGTGGCCTTAGGTATTTATCACGGGGTGTCGGGAAGCGGTTAAGGTATATTTTATCATACATGGGTAAAATAATATGGGTGAGTTGAGTAATATTTTGTAGGCAGTAATATTGTTGTTGTAGGTATACGCAGTAGTTTAGATCCGTGAATTCCTACGCGTCATTATTGCCGAATATAACCATTGACGTCATCGCGTCTCGGGAATAATTCGGGTGAAAAAAAAACCGTTAAATTTCCTACCCCAAATGGAACGTGGATACTATAATACACAGGACAGGTGATGCATTCAGGCTGTTGGATAATAGAGGCGCTTGGAATAATAATAATAACATAACGAGAGAATGGGCGATGAGTGCACCAGACCAACGACGCCACGACGACGACGTCAACGGCGGCGGTGGCGGCGGCGACGGTGAACGATTATTTATATTTTATACGAGTATATTACTATAACATACAGAGTGTTCCACGGAGATTTTACTAATTCAAGTGATGGGATAATTTAAATTCCTCATCCCACTATTTTAAATTAATAAAATGTCTTCACGAGCCGTCTCCTATTATATTGTAATAAAGGTAGGTACAGCATAATAATATTATGATTATAATATTAATACAGGCAATCATTTCATTTTGACATAAAGAATAGGCATACAGGGCGATCAAAAATATTATTTACAACGGTAACATTGTTATTGTAGTTTATTACCTTCAAATTTAAATATTAGTATTAGTACTCTGTATATACTCTGTAGTACTCTGTATAATATAAACATATGACGTGTTTACGTGAAATATATATTAATAAAAATGCGTAGTTATTATGACAATTTATAATTTCAACAGGTTAAATTATATTATTATTAACTACCTACAGAGTTGAATAAATTATTGACGAAGGTTTTTTTTTTTTTAAATTATCATGGTGGTAGTTAAACCGATGATATATTTGTGTACATTATGTTGTATCTTTGTGTTTAGGTCTTTAACACTGTAAAAAATATTATAATCGTCAGCTTTACAGCATATCGAACTACGGCAAAGGTAACCGAAGTCGTGACACATTTATGGAAAATGTGAAAACGCGATTATTATATTATTATTAATAACGTTCATCGCACATCGATAACCGTTTTAATGGCGCTTAATTCCATTATAGTTTAGGTGATAATATATAACGTTTTATATCACTCCGCCGTAACGATAGTTTACAGTGGATTTTTTTTTTTTTTTTTTGATATCAATTTATCAACTTTCAGCTGAGGTGTGGCCGAGAGAAAACCGAAAATTTCAAACGATGCGGGCGAGCGACCGCCGGGGAAGTTGCTATGTAAATAATAATATACAATAAAAGTGCTGGACGTGATTCCGCATGAACATTAACGTCGATTTCAAACGATGCTCCTCGATGGAGCGGCCGTCGGAGTGTAGGCGCATAGCATTATGGGTATACGGTAATACGCTCGCCGCTTATTTCGCGCGGCCGCTTAATCAACGAGGTAATGTCGGAGTGATTATTAGTCGATAAAATATGATAAAATATTCGCAGACGGTGTTTGAAATCGTTGACCCAAAAATGCACGGCGAGCACCGCGGGTCGGGCCCAAAGCAATGATCGCCGAGAACCGGCGCGACGGAGAAAATAATATAATCATCGGAGGCGGCGGCGACCGTTTTCCTCCGAGACCGACCAACTGAAAACATCGCGGTTACCACCCGGCACTGAACTGTAAACATGAAACGGGCGTAGGACCGAAAAACTCGTCTCACATAATGTTATTATTATAATACATAAATTATTATTATGTATTTGTTACCAAGAATTTTATTTTTGTTTAAAAATTATTATAATAAGATTCCAATGAAAATGTATATAGGTAGCTAATTGAATCTAAACGATGGCACGGCAGCCTCCAATAATTGGACGCTTTTCAATGCACGAACGACATATTACTGTAGCCCGCTCCATTATATATTTACAGGTCAGTGTCACCCAGTCACGAGTAAAGGCGATTTCACACTTCACCGTGATAGTATTGTGACCAGTGATTTCCGACAAAAAAAAAAATCGTTTTTTTGAAATTCTTGATCATCTTTTGTGCGGTAATAATAATAGTTATTCATATTGTGATCAGTGCATACTGTAATGATGCACTGAATGGTAAATGCGGTAACTGGTTTAACATATCAGTCGATCGTGATTGGATTCTACTTCCTGGTATATAATATAATATATACATACTATTATGGTATCTACCTACTTATAAGTTATAAACATTGCGGTGGTATACAACTTACTGACCGCGAGACTTATTACTCAGCCAACCACAGCACCTAATTTTTTTGGAAACCATGGTTCACGTTATTATGGAGGTGTGTGAAGTCGCGTATAAAGCCGGGTTAACACTACCACACCATGTCGCCACCTCTCGTCTCGTGTTCCGTTTCTGTATAATATTATATGTTTTAATACTAAGCTATCAAAATATTTGCAACACGTTAATTGGTTAATTATAATCAATATTATGTTCAACACTATCCCTATGGACTATGACATATAGCATGGTAACCGGGAATTAACCTAGTAAATGATGGCTACCTCGATCTAGGTATACAATATTGTAACCTCGGTTCATATTGCACGCAAAATTTACTCGCCAGTGGGTAACCGCGATAATTATACCGGCCGTCATTTGTTCGTCCAGCGTCCGCCACTGGCGTTTATTCATCGCGTGCAGTTCGATTTTCGATCGAACCGTTTTCGCGTGTTCGTGCGTATTAATTAAACTGTGATGTGCAGTGTGACGAAATTCCGGCGGAACGATTTTTTGTTCATATATATTATAATAGCGACTCTTAAATTATCTAGACTGAATAGAAATTATTTTAAAATTTCATTTTGGATTTAGATCACACTATTTCACAATCCAACATATTTTTCCGAACATAATATATCCATACATAATATTATATCCGAACATAATGCAAGTAACTCATTCGAATAATACTGTCACACTCATACAGGTGCATGCATCTGGTATTATTGATAAGTCCAAAGCTTTCGAATTGTTGTAAAAACTCAAAATTATCAGGACCCCCAATTATCTGTTGGATCTAACAAGCTCGTTTCTGTTGTCTAACGAAAAACAATATTCTGTTACAATAAATGAGAACTTTTCTGTTTGAACCCGTAACAGCTGGTGTTCATCAAGGATCAATACTACTTGGCACTATTTTATTTAATATCTACTCATCGGACATCCCACAGACGCCATGCACTAATATAGCCGTTCTTTCGCCCTTTTTGCCGTCAATACAACAATCTATACTGAATCTCACAATATAGAAGCAATAACAGTCAATTTACAAAATCATTTAAATATTTTATCATCTTGGTGCAATAGTTAGAAAATACCAATACATGCTTAAACAATTGTAAACGTTTTATTTTGTTTATATAATTCAACCCCCAAGCGGAAAATTTTACAAAATTACATGGAGATACAGCGAAACTGTAACATATTTAATGACCAAACAACAAAAAAAAGTTTAAGTTAAGTAATTATTATAAAAAGGTAAGGAAGCAACGATCGGCGTCGGTACGACGTGAGTACAGTGTTGATATATTGAAAGAGTCTCGGATTATGCTGTAGACTGTAGTCATGCTGAGGGTGAACTATCCTTAGCAAACACGATAGGTCGGAAGAAACTTATTTTTAACGTGGTCATTACGTATTTGATCCTTGGCCAAGTATGGGTGCCAGAATTCACACCGTACTCGAGGATGGATCGAACCAGTGCGAATAAAAGAGAACGGAGTGATGTACCTGTTGAGAAGGACTTGGTGATACGTGTGACAAAGCCTAGGATCTTAAGGGCTTTGAATAGGGCTAGTTACGTTAATGTGGTGTTCAACGTTCAAAGACAGGAAATCCCAAGATCCTCAAAAAGGAATAGGTACATGTTGAACATCCGCATCAAAATTATATGGTTGGTAGCTGGTTATATGACACCTAGTAAATGTCATGCCGTTGCATTTCAGCATTTGTTTAAGTTGAGCGACAACCCTAGGTGGCGAATCCATCTAGTTTTGTACAGTCTTCGTCATAACCGTATAAACTCTAAAGTATATACTTACCCAAGCTAAATTTCAACAATGTACCAAATACCAATCCATATCGAAAGTTAACCGTCAAGTATCTCAGCGTAACGATGGACAAAAGATCAACTTTTTGGACGCACTTAACATGTAAACTTCAAAATGCTTATAAAAAACTAGCGATGCTGTTCCCTATTCTAATTAAAAAGTCTACATTTCAGAAAAAAATGTTCCCTATACTCACTTATATATATATAAGCAAGTACTACTCACACTGCTTACCATCTTTAGATATGCTTGTCCGAAAATGTGCACAAACCCACTTAAAAAAATTTAAAATATTTAAAATAAAAACTAATAGTAATATTAATTATTCCATATATTTTAAGAAATCTAACCATATACTAAGATCTCAACATTTCAAAACTCCTAGAAAAATGTGGCTGAACGTTTCTTTAAGTCCATTCACAAGTCAACAGGTTCAGTGAATTACAAATTACAATTTCAACATAAGATCAACACTCCAAACTCCATTTAAGACGAGAACGTCCTTATAACCTATTTATATATTTTAAACTTCGTTTAAACTTTAAAGTTTAGTATTGAGTTAATAATCACTTAGACACTACTTCATTACAGTTAATATTAATTTTATTAAAGACGCAGTTAGTAAGACGAAACATATTGTAAGTATTCATCTTCCCTAGATATAGATAGTGCAAGCTAGGAATATCCAACTGCATAAAAAATTAAATAAAAATATTATAATCGCGAGTCATTTGCGGTTCGAAAAAAACGCGTCGTCCGTTTTTCGAGGACGGAGTGGCAAGGTAAGACCTACACCTATTATTCGCAGGTTCCTTGTAGGGATAAACAGTTAGAATATTCATACGCTTCTACGACCGTTATTGGCACTGGTTACTGTTTAGAATGCATTGTATTTACACATAATATATTATATAGTGTGTGCTATACATATAGAAAAATTTTAAAACCAAAGAGTTAAACCTTGGTAAAATGGTCGCATCATTAGGTACGACTTTTAGAATAATAAAAAATAATACAATATAAATGTATGATGTATCATTTTGAATTATCGTCGCTTCGTTAGATACTTTTAATATTCATACACAATATAATTATTATATTATAGTTTATAACCTGTACACGTACATATACAGTATAGGTACGTATAACCAAATAGGTTATTTGTAATATCCAATAGTTTAACATTGGTAAAAATCATTAAAACTGTTGCGTTATGCGTCCATTAATCCTCAGTGACGATGCGTAGCCTCGGGTAGTAAAATATAATATAGGACAGGTGTATCATATAAATATATAATATATAATTTAATACATTTATAATTCAAGGGTAAGAATGTGTGAGCTCAGTAAGCGCCCTTAGTAACTACTCGGTAGCTATTGTATAAAAAAATTATTATTATTGGAACCTTTATAAAATATATCTACCTACGTTTTAATAAATTAAAAACTAAACAGACATGTTCGCAGATGCTGTATAGTAATCAGAAACCACAGTAACATCCATATATCGTTAGTGTAAAAACCACAATAAACCCAATATCCAATAAACTATCTAAATAAATTATAGTAATACCGTGGGTACCTAATACCTATATACCTACTATATTATATATCATATAGGTACACTACTGAATTATCTCATAGTTAGCAATCGTCATTTTTTTTCAGTGTATCATTATATTGTCTACACCTTCAGACAGCAGATATACATGTATAATACTACAGTCATTGATAATAATATCATGTATGTATATTATTTTATTATTACTGTAGATTTCATGATGAATATCATGTTTTATTATAGTATTCAGGTGCATTTATTGAAAATTTATTCAATTTTTGAGAACTCATATTTTTAAGTCGAATTAGATTCAAACTCGAGAAGGTTGTGAGTAGAACCGCTACTATAAATTATTATGAGTCGATGAATGGTTTTATATACTTTTATTTGAAATGGGTTTCTAAATTCGAGGTATAGATCCCGGATTAGGTATATTAAAATAACTAACACACACAACGACCTATTGACCTAAAGTTGTGCTGAGTATCGCAATTGACAATAATTATTGTTAATTCATTTTATGAGAAAACCTTTTTATAAATTCACTAACTATAGGGTTGAATTTATAAATTATAAATTACAATGTGTACAATGATATTAGACAGGTCGGATACGGTTGTACCTTTTTCGTTTATAGGTTCGGTGGACAAGGGACAAAAACTAGCTTGACACAGACCTGTACAATCCCTTTACGCTGTGCTTTGACATTCGTACGACCACAAACTTCACTGCAAATGTGTACAGTACACTGCGTCACGAAGATGATTCTTATCGGCCTATGTAATAGGTATTTATATGATATAACTTGACTGTGGTTATGCAGTGATGAAACAGTTTTAATATAGTAATATAATATGTTAATGACACTGCTTACATTACGTTTATATAATATTCGATTAGAATATTCAGGCGAAAAGGGACTGTATAATAACTAATGCAGTAATGCATAGGTAGGTACTTCAGTCTACTATAGGAATCAGAAATGATGTACAAACAGGAAACTCAGTAGCAAATACAAGTATATTATTATACTACCTATTTATACTTGTAATATTACAATAATAATTCACGAATGAATAAGAGTTAAGGTGCGTTCACATCTTCCTTGTATAAATATTTAATATGTAGATTGTAGGTAATATTATAATGTTGGTAACACGTTAGTCACATATAAGTTGAATATATTTAAGTTTACGATATACCTACCTTACGAACGCACCTTTAAATAAAAGTTATTATAGACTTTCAGTTATCTTTGTTACTACCTATCTTAAAAGTATTCTAATAAGTAATAACCATAAACAATATACATTGCGTCATTGCTTATATTTTGAATATATTTATAATTACAGTTATTCAGTGCTTAAACACAGAAATACACATGGAAATATTATATTTAAGGAAACTATTGTCCATTCTATAATATGATAACATTATCATTAAAATATCAAACGATGGTAATAAATAAGTTTGATTATAGTTCTCAAAGTAAAGCAAATATTTACAATCAAAATCGTTGCAAGTGATAACTTAAGTCATTATATGATGAAATTCAATGTAAGTAACTTAATTCCTATACTCTATATAGCTATATATATATATTCATTTTTGATAGAATGATATTGTTTGTTCTCTTAGTTTACTAAATCAGTTTTGATTGAATGGGTGTAAAAGTTCTAAAGCGATCATCGCTTTGTTTATGTTTCGTGCCTTGTTTAGAATTTATTCTTTGGAATTATGTAAATGTTGATTACATGAAAGTTTGAAATTCATGATGAGTATACGTTAAACACTGTGATTTCTATTAATACAATGTTCTAATTTATTCGTTGTCACTTTTTAGTAAACAAATTGTCAGTGTTCGAATTGTAAATGTAGACCAATTGTCATTAATAAAAAGTGGGAAACTCGCTCTGCTCACTTCGGTACAGATAGTAGCCAGTAGGTGTTGAGTGTAACTCACATTGAGTAAGTAGCTGTAATGTGTGTGATAAGTCATTGAATGTGAAAAACAATTCTGAGTGAAAATGGTCTGTCAGCCTATTTTATTAAGTATATTTTATTGTATGATTATATTATTAGTAATTTATCATATTATTGGTAACATGGTAGGCTGAAATAATTTTTGATGAAAACATCAGATTTACAATATTATTATTTCTACATTTTAAAATATTATGTACTTATATATTTATAATTTACATATATATATTATTATTTATAACTTTTGAATTAAAACTGACCTACCACCGTAGAATTACCAACTGAAAATAATAGGTACTTATGAGTAATTGAGTAGCAAATTTACGAATACCAGTAATAGTTACAGTATTTTACAAATTTTTAAAATTCTAAGCAAAGCAAAATAAGGTATGAATTATGCTAAAATAAGTTTACCGGGGGGGGAGGTGTTGAATAAGCTCCTGATGCCCCAATCAGCTACGGGACTGGTTTTGAAGGCCTAATGTGTTTAATTAAAATAACATTTGATAACATTTTGAACGTTAAACTCATGAAAAAAAAATTTGATCACGCATTTATGATATATGTAATATTTAAGGTAATATAATATATAAAACATCTTTGCTATAAATACAAACTTCGAGAAACCTATTTGTATGAAATTATTAGGTATTTATTATTCATTTTTTAAAGAACAAATAAACTTAACAAAAAATAATATAAATTTATTTAAAAACTGGTTTTGCGTAAAAATTCACATTTTTCTAAACTTTTTTGAAAAGTAGGAGTATTTTAAGTATCTCTAAAGTAGGTATCATCAAGATTCATTAAATATAAAATATCTAATTACAAATAGAATTTAATTGCAAAAAAACATTTTTACTAACATAAACGAAAAGAGACTTAAAATGCAGAAATTGTTATTAACTCTAACCATGTTGATTGTTGAATAGTATTTATGAACCATATATAAAATTCTAAACTTTGTTTTAAAAACTATGTACCTACCTACATTTAATGGTCAATTATAATAACAGGATGAGCCTTCACTAGCATCCTTGATCATCATATTTTTATTAACCATCTTAGGTTAAACAATTAATACCTAATATAAAGATGAGTACCTATGCATAATAGTATATATATATAAGATCCACGCATTTGTTATTAATTATAATTTAATAATAATCATGATTAGTATTATCAAACAATTTAATATTCTCGTGAATAATAATCGACAACGTGAAAATAATAATTATTATGGTATTTCTGGACTAAAGCCATTTACCCATTGATGTACATACTACATACATACCTATAAATAATTTAATATTATATTATATTCAATTGTAACACACATAATTTAACATAAATTGCAATTTATCTTGTATTCTCTTTAGAAGTCTATGCAATATGTATAATATACTTTTAGTATTATAATACGAATATCGAGGTTATAGGTTTTGAGTCTGATCCG